CCTTTTTGCCGGGTCTTCGCTTTATGACCGAAGCGATGAACACGAATAGTGCGGAACTTTGCACGGCCGATTCTAGGGCTGCAGCGGCAGAGGCGAAGGCTGCTCGTCTCAAAGAGGAGATCGATGCCAGTTTCTCTCGCGCCCAGGATTTAGCCGTAAGTGAGGCCGCTCGTGTGAGAGAGGAGCATGAAGCTGAATCTCGTCGAAGCTTAGAGCTTTCCGACACGATGGTTCGCCGTGCTCGTAGAGCGGGCAAAAGAGAGGTTTCTGCAGAGTTCATGGCTCGCCGTGAGCGGTTCGTGCGTCTTTACGCGGAGTTCGAAGATGCGCAAAGGGCGAATGACGATTTCCGTGAGTGTCGGGGCGTAGCAGGGGGTTTGTATCATACCCAGGACCCAGACTATTCGTATGAGGTTGTGTTTGCGAAGCAAAAGGCGCGTTTGGCTAAGAGAGAGAAAAAGAAGAACGAGTCCATCAAATCCGGGAAGCGCATGTGGGATCAGTTGAGCCCCATTGTGGCGTCGCCGGATTCGGTCGAGGTTGGACCTGGGATCTCGGATGTAGAGGGTGAAGTCGACCAATCCGCGTTTGATGACTTCAGTGTGTGATGTTATTGCTTTTATGATTTCGTTGTTGTTTTTCCGGGACTGGCCGTTGGTGGCTTTGAATCCCTTCCGCTGGGCGGCGTGTATTTGAAGACTTTCTAATAAGAAAAATTTTCTAAGTATGAAATTTGCGTTTTGTTTTTAGATGTAGAGGGAAGAATACGAGTTGTCGTCTCGCATCTAACTCTTGGTGTGAATCGTTTGGTTTGTTAACTCGGAAGGTTTCGATTTTCGCGAGTGTTTAGATGTGGGCGAAGAGACATGCCTTTAGGATCTCGATTCATGCCTTGAGACGTCAGAGACCAGTGTGCTGGGTTTAGGGCAAAACCTAGGTTTACTTTCGGATTGAGGCTATGCGATGGCTAGTCGGCTTTCGTTTTACATGTTGCGATTTTAACCTGACTCCATACCGATTTAGAATCCGCGATAGGTTCTCGGCTTATACGATTCGTATGGTTGGAATCGAGCATCTCTCCGGGAACAATTTCTAAGTTGCCGGGAAGTGCTGACCAAAAATTTAGATTTCTTTTATAGCGCGCTATTTTATCCTAGTCTGATGTATGCGGACCGATAGGAAGATGCGTTTGTTTAGGACGGCTAGCGTGCTCGATGGGGTCAATCGCCGAGCGTTCATGTTTTATAGTCGGGACGGACTCGGGGGAATATTTTTCTTGAGAATCTAGGCGACGTCTCGTCGGTTCTTTCCGAAAATATTTTGATGTACAAGTTCTATAGAAACGATTAAGTAGTTGTTACTGCGGAAGCGATTTCCAGATGTTTGGAATTTGTTTTTTGCGTTTTCGATAGTAGCGGAGATTTTATAATATTCTAACTTTGTCTTTATATAAAAGGTTTCGATAGTAGCGGGAGATCGAGGTCGGTTCAACGTACGGCGAACCGAGCCGGACCGGTCAGCTCGTCGGTCGAACTGTCCGGGAAGCTCCTAGTTCGCCCAACGGCGAACTAGCCGGTGCAAGGCTAGTTCGCCGTTGGGCGAACTAGACGGGACGTGTCTAATTCGCGTTTTACGGCGGTTTCGGTTTTCGCGGTTTTGTAAAACGGTTCTTCGAGTTTTATAAAACGAATCTTCGAGTTTTTATAAAACGATTCTCGAATTTTATAAAACGATTTTCGAATTTTATAAAACGATTCTCGAGTTTTTATAAAACGATTCTCGAGTTTAATAAAACGATTCTCGAGTTTTATAAAACGATTCTTCGAGTTTTATAAAACAATACTTCGAGTTTTATAAAACGATTCTTCGAGTTTTATAAAACGATTCTTCGAGTTTTATAAAACGATTCTTCGAGTTTTATAAAATGATTCTTCGAGTTTTATAAAACGATTCTCGAGTTTTATAAAACGATTCTCGAGTTTTATAAAACGATTCTCGAGTTTTATAAAACGATTCTCGAGTTTTATAAAACGTTTCTCGAGTTTTATAAAACGATTTCATTTATATTTCTGCGGGGAGTTTTGGCCGTTGATTCCGATTTTGACACCAACACTTCCGATGATGGAGCTTCGAAGCGGTGTTGTACCAGTTGTCAGATACATGTGAGACGCATGTCGAAGATAGGGAACAGTTCATGACTCTGAAGCTTCTCGAATATCTTGTAACTAGGATAAGACCTGCGCATTGCGCAGGGTGAATATATGTAATTAAAATATAAAATATTAGTATTGACAAATTTAAAATTTACATATGATTGTTTTTGTATGTATTTGAAATTTAAGAATTTTGAAATCTTTATATAATTATCTATACGTAGGGTCAGAAACAATTTTAATTAGAAATGTAGATCAAATCTTAGAATTTAATGGATCTGTTTTCATATATCTTTTCACTTTTCAGTGTTCGAGTGATGGAAAATAAATGGAGTGTTACTGGACTTGATTGGTAGAGTATTAGCAAGTTCCCCAATGTTTTTTAAGAAGCAATTGGTAAAATATTTGCATTTAAAATATTTAAAGTTTCAAAACTAATTTAATATAATTTATTTATCTGTCTAATAATATTAGAAAATTATATTTTTTACAAATTTTTATTTTTAAAAATATTTATAAAAAATTATGTTAAATTTTAAATTATTTTAAAAACAATATTTTAAGTTTTTCAAATACAAATAAATAATTTAAAATTAATTATGGTCATGATTTAACATAACCATATTGATTTAAAAAATTAAAAAATAAAAATTAACTCACTTTTATATCATGATTAACAATTTAAAAATTAATTATGCTTATGAGAAGTTTACGTTCACGTGTCAGTCCTATTAATCTTCCATTTTTCTCTTGCTATGTGTTTTTATATTTTGGTTATTATTCGATATAAATATTTATTTTGAATTTTATTCTCATTTCGTTTGTTTTAGAAAATACTTTAGATTTAAATTAATTAAAGAGATACATACTTAGGTTAAGATCTGCACTTATGCACAATGAGTATTTTATATTTATTATTTATTTTATATTTTTCTGCATATTATAAATAATAAAATAATAAATATATATTAAATAATTAAGAAATCAGTTACTATTATGTAATAACTTGGCGTATGCATATAAATTTAACTATTACTCTTGTTTATACACAATTAGGGTAAATAAATCAAAATAATCAATCTTATATATTGTATATGATATATAATTAAATTTAAATGATGTAAACATAATAATATAACACACTTTTAATATGGATATTAATTAAATGAGGTTTCTACTCATATGATTTATGATTATTTGCATATTTGTGTAACAAAACTTTACACCAACGAATTTTTTTAATGTGAGATGTTTAATAGTTTCAATAATTTATAATCATTTAAAAAAAAAACAATGACATATTTCAAAATTAAAATATTAACTTTTCAATATATATAAGGCAAATATCAAAATATAAGTATGTATTTTCATACGATGTATAGTTTAATTAAAATGATATTAAATATATATAAACTAAAATTATTTCTTCATATGGTCTTATAATCATTATATTTTAGTATAGAAAAAAAAATTAAAACCTTGATCTTAAGAGTTTATGTGGGACTTTTAACAGTTTTAGTAATTTATACTTATTTTGAAAAATTCGAAATACAACATACACAAAAAAAAATCTAGATTTTTATTATATGATTAATGTAATTGTGTAATTTATTTTAATAATAAAGAAATAAACAAAATGAAAAAAAATATACAGATTGTTATCAAATCTTTATTGTTTAAAATCATTAATTGTCATATATATATTTTGATCACATTAGGTAATTCCGTGGGTTTTATTTAAGGAAAGCATGTGAAACAATAAATATTTGATATATGCGACCAACTATAGCCTACGGAATATTATACTTCTAGAGAATATAATTTTTAAACTATACATTATATCACATGCTCTAGAATCCTTGGGATTTGAAATAGAAGCCAAAGAGCTATGTCACGTAGGATTGGGGTTATTTTTAGTTCTTACAAACTTAAGGTTACAACTTTTTAAATGATTCTCAAATAATATATAGGGGATATGGTTTGTAATTTATTATTAGGCTTTTAAGTTGTAAAATTCTAATGCCAACTTTTAAACAATGCCTTATGGCATAGTTAATGAAACTTAAAGTCGACAAAAATCAAATATATTATTTTGAAATAAATATATGATATATTATCTATGATCATTTTAAAATTATATATTACTGTACCAATTAGTTTTAGTCCATGTTTGGAAACGTGCTAGGCATAACGCGTGCGGCCAAGCAACGCCTAGCAAGTTGAGGGAAAATCGAAGATTAATTGGGGATTAATCAAAGATTAATTGGGGATTAATCAAAGATTAATTTAAAACACATTTTCTTGATTTTCAGTTATATAGTTTTTTTTTGATTAAATATAGATCTATATTTAACGTTGTATGGGAACTTAAGAATATATATATGTGGTCTAGTGGTAACTGAAAACACGTTTAACCATTAAGTAGAGGTTCAACTTCTCAGGCCTCTATAAATAAGACGTAATGTTTCGCGAAAGTCCATTCGCTGAACCCATATGCTAACTTGGGCCAGTAACTAGTATTTTTTTTTGTTAAAAATCGGTCATAAATCCGATTTGTAACGCCTTATGTTATTAATCAGACGATTAATTGTCGAACGATTTCAAAACCGAGTTGGCTTAAATCGTGGCGGCTGGTCACCAAACAACGTTTTCTCGGCCGCAAACGCGGCGAACACTGGTTTTAGTTTATCATCGGCTATATCATAAAGGAAAAAGCCCATTTGACACTAACAGGTCCAACACTACAAACCAAATCATATTAACAAAAGAAAAATTTTAAACTAAAAATTGAAAAATGTGTTAAATAAGGAACTCTTCCATTACCAAATCCGCACTGTTCTTCTTCCTGTTTGAGATCTCCTTCCACAGTCCACAACCATACCATCATCAGATCTGCCACTATCTTTTTCACAAAAATCTTCACAAGAAATCCCAAAAATCTGTCTGTTATTGAAATTATTTCACTGTTAAATGTAACCTCTTCTGGTACAAGAATGGCGCAGCAACAACACTACCTTCACCAACGTCCCATACAAAAAAACCCAATATCCCTCCTCAGCCGTAACAGTCTCCTCCTACTTCTTTCTCTCCTCATAATCCTCGGCGTATTCTTACCCTGGACAGGATCTCCCTTATTCCCCTCTCCAAACACAATCTCTCCCTTTCAATCCAAATGGCGCGAATATTCCCTATCTCAAGCAGTTAAATTCGCAGCTAAAAACGGGACAGTGATTGTCTGCGCAGTGAGTTATCCTTACTTGCCTTTTCTCAACAACTGGCTGATTAGTGTCTCGAGACAGAAGCATCAGGACAAAGTACTCGTCATAGCTGAGGATTACGCTACTCTCTATAAAGTTAACGAGAAGTGGCCTGGTCACGCTGTTCTCATCCCTCCTGCGCTTGATTCTCAGACAGCACACAAGTTTGGGTCTCAGGTTTGTGTAATTAATCTCTCTGCACAACAGTTTCATTCCTTTTTACGGTTTAAATTCATCATCTCTTGCTTAAGTTAGCTTAGTTGGAAAAAAGGTTCTAAATTTGTATTTTTTTATTAGCTGAAAATGGCTTAGTTGTCATCATACAGGTTCACTTAGTTGTAATAGCTTCATTGGTTTCTGTGATGTGTTTAGTAATTCCATGGCTGATGATATGAATAGAAATGGAGTGTTAAACTTGTGAATTTAATTACTACCTAAAATGGTTTTAGAAATTCAGATTTTTTTTATGTTTGTGTGCTTCACTACTTATTTTACCAATCTGCTTCTCTTGGAGCTGTTTTGATTTGCTTATGTTATTTTAGTTGTTGCTCAAATCACACATTTGAGCTGCATCCATGTCTAATCTTTATGAGTAACCACCAGAGACAGTGAAGTTGTGGATGTAGGACCATTTTCCTTTACTAAGAGTTTCAGTGATTATGTATGCTTTGATCACAAGTTGTAGGAATCCATCTTTTTTAACTAGTTGATATCATATCTCGAATCTTAGGGCTTCTTCAATTTCACAGCACGGAGGCCGCAACATCTCTTGCAAATTTTGGAGCTAGGTTACAGTGTTATGTACAACGATGTTGATATGGTCTGGCTCCAAGATCCCTTCCTTTATTTAAAAGGAAGACATGATGCTTACTTCGAGGATGACATGACTGAAGTATGTAACTCTCCTTTTCACAGAAAATCTCCTTTGACATATTTCAGATTATTTTTTTTTATTTTCTTTCTTGGTTTCTTGGTTGGCAGATTAAGCCCTTGGATCACTCTCATGATTTACCACCTCCGGGTAAAAAAGGAAGGCCTTATATATGTAGCTGCATGATTTTCTTGCGTCCCACTGATGGGGCAAAGCTTCTGATGAAGAAATGGATTGAAGAACTTCAAGACCAACCTTGGTCCAGAGCAAAGAAAGCAAACGATCAGCCTGCTTTTAACTGGGCTCTTATGAAAACATCTCATCAGGTAGCTTGCTGTTTAACTGGTCTCAAGCTCTTATTACACAGTTGTTTTGCTGGTTTTGATGAAATGTGGGATTAAAAAGTGTCTCAAAAGACTGAACCTTTTGGTACTCTGAGATTCAGCATTATCTATAACTTTAGCTCCTCTAAACTCTTTATTGGGATCTTGGGTGTTGTGCAGGTTGATCTCTACTTGCTTCCTCAGGCAGCATTCCCAACAGGAGGATTGTACTTCAAGAACAAGACATGGGTTAAGGAGACAAAGGGGAAACATGTGATAATCCACAATAACTACATTTTGGGTTTCGAGAAGAAGACCAAACGTTTCCGTGACTATGGTCTATGGTTAGTGGACGATCATGCTCTTGAGTCCCCATTAGGAAAATTAGAGTAAATTCAACAATATTGTTTTGCTCGCTCTCTCGCTCCACATTTTTCTTCTTATTTGGAATTTTCAGGGTGCACAAAGAAAGAATATCCACTTGAGTAGTTTGTTAGGAGTCTTTTAAAAGTTATATGAGAATGTGCTATATTAGCCAATTTAATATGACTCTGAGTCTGGCATTTCTGTGATGACTTCATTCAAATCATATTGAGTTCACATATGCACAAATATAATGGATCACAATATCTGCACATCGGTCAACAAAAGAGGAAATAACAACAATGAGATTTCAGCAATAAGAAGAATCAAACCCAAGAACCAAAACTGATTATGGCTAAGTTAGTAAACCAAAAATCTGTGGGCTTATTTGCCAAAGAGCCACACAAAAAAGAAAATTAGATTTTTAGAAGAGAGAGTAGAGAGAGATAGGAAGAGAAAGTAGGAGAGAGAGGAGAATTTTAGTTATTTTGTGAATTTGTGTTTTTTAAGTCTATAGGGTGCAATTTCTGAAAATCTATTTATTTGTTTTTTTTGTAACATCTATTTACTAGGATAAGACCCGCGCCTTGCGCGGGATGAAGCTATTATTTTTATTATGTTTTTAAAAATGAAACAATAGTTCGGTTTCATTCGGATTAGAGGTGTTCAATCCGGATATCGGATTTCGGTTCGGCTCGATTTTTTGGTATTTCGATCATTAAAATATAACTACTATTCTAAATTTATATGTACTTCAGTTTGATTTGGTTTATATACCATCGGTTTTCAGTTTATTCAATTTTATACCAAAAAACATAATTATTTAGTTTGAGATCATATTATATATTATACAAATATATAATATAATCATATTTAGAGTCATATTGTCACAGAGTTATTTATTAAATTTTTTTTATATATTTAAATAAAAGAATAAAAAACGAAAAAGGCTTTTATCATCTAATAAAATGATGAAATCTAGAATTAATATCAAAACACTAAATTTTGAAAATAAAAATAAAAAACAAAACAGAAGCATGAAAGAAAAGTTTTTATATTCTTCCATATTTAGTGTTCATCAAACCAATATGTCTTCGATTGAACACAACTCTATTTGTTTAAAGATAAAAAAAAGTTGTAAAGGATTTCAACTAATTATTGTCCATCAAATTTATAATCTTTACTTCAATTTAGTTACTGTTAAAAAACCAAAAGATCAAAATAAGAAGTCTTAGTTGTAATAAATTGTTAGCTATTTACAAATTATAATTATAGTTCAACTCATGTAACAGATAGATATTCATGCGTCGTTATAAATATATACATATTTACATGTTTCAGTTTAATCAATATATACATATTTACATGTTTCAGTTTAATCGATTATAAATCAAACCATATCCAAATCCTATGGTTTTTATAAAATCACATTTATTCGGTTTGTATGGTATATACCAAAAATAACCATATTATCGATTGTTAATATCTTTTAAAAATATAAAATTAAAAAAAAAACTAAGATATTTAAATCATTGATAATAAAAAATTTC